CAAAATCAGTCTTATTTACTTAACATAGAAACACACTACTGCTCCGATACTTGACATTTTTGGCGCTTGAACAGGGACAGAATCGAGTAGTAAAGTAGGTAGTGTGCCACGTGGTGTCACGGTCGAGTGCGTTTATTATCACTGCCAAGTCGTTCTGTACGCCATATTGGAAGTCTTAACGACCATGTGAATGGCAAGGCGACATCGAGGTCGTCTTGTTGAAGTGTGTGCTCATTAGAAAGTAAAGTGTATAGTGTCGTTACGCACCATTAATAGCGTGCGGCATGCGCAACAGCCTTTAGCCACTGTAACAACACCTCCAATTTAGTGTTTGCTATAAGTTTAATACGCTGGTTCACTTTACTTTTCGTAGGTGCTGTACTCATACGTACACACACATGTAGAGCGCGGCTCTCTCATAGCCATTATATCCGCCATCTTTTGATCGACGATTCTACTTAGTTTACGTTGGTGTTGTACTCACATGTACACACACACATGGAGTGCAGCTCTCTCACAGCCTGTATATCAGCCATTTTGTGACTTAGTTCTTTCTTTCTAGTACGTCATTTCTTCGCCTACGGTGAAGTAATAGCTCACCATTGCTACAATTGCTGCAGGCAGGCCACGCCTGTTCCACCAGCTAATCAGTCCTACCATCCAGTCTACGTCGCCTGCTTGAGCTGCAGGCCCTCTACACCTGTAGCAGGCTGTCCATGCCTGCCCCACCCGCAAGTTAAAGTCGCCTGCTTAAGCTGCAGGCCCTCTACACCTGTAGCAAGCTGTCCATGCCTGCCCCACCCGCAAGTTGAAGTCGCCTGCTTAAGCTGCAGGCCCTCTACACCTGTAGCAAGCTGTCCATGCCTGCCCCACCCGCAAGTTGAAGTCGCCTGCTTAAGCTGCAGGCCCTCTACACCTGTAGCAAGCTGTCCATGCCTGCCCCACCCGCAAGTTGAAGTCGCCTGCTTAAGCTGCAGGCCCTTTACACCTGTAGCAGGTCATCCACGCCTGCTCCACTAGCCAGTCTAGGTCGCCTGCTTGAGCTGCAGGCCCTCTACACCTGTAGCAGGCTGTCCATGCCTGCCCCATCCGCAAGTCAACTTCGCCTGCTTGAGCTGCAGGCCCTCTACACCTGTAGCAGGCTGTCCATGCCTGCCCCAGCTACTGTCCACATCGGTGCCTGCTAGTACAGCAAGCCATTCTCGACGCACGCTCTTGCAGTTTTTCTGCGGGCCACTTATGTCTGCTGCCAGAGCTGCAGTATAGAATTCTTGTGCTAGTAGAGACTTTAAGTTTTAGATTAAGATCTTAGTTTTAGTTTTAAGTTTCTCGTTCGAAAATTAGTGTGCCGTTTACGAATATGGAAGATCTTTATGCCGCACAGACTAAATTGCACAAAAGGATTAGCAATTGCTTTGAAAACTTTAAGAAATCAGGTAGTGAAAGGATTTCTCGTGGTAGAGCAGAAGCTATGGTACAGGCTTTGGAAGATTATTTAGAAAGACTTCGTAAAAATCATCAAGACGTTCTTTTACTTACTGATTTAGATTATAAGCATTTATATTTTACTAGTGAACTTGTTGATATGACTGAGGACGCGTACTATTTAGTAAAGGGAGATTTTGCCGAGTACATTAGATGTCTCCCTTCTGAAAATCCCCCGCCCGCTCCGAACCCAAATCCCACTTTGGTAGTTCCGCCCATTAGTAATTCTTACCTCTCAAGAATCGAACTTCCTAAGTTTACTGGTAAATTTTCTGATTGGGAGAATTTTCGGGATACCTTTAGGTCTTTAGTGCATCGGAAGGCAGATATCGATAATATTATTTAATTCCATCAATTACGTACTCATTTAGATGGTGAGGCTTTAGACTTAATCAAATCCATTCGTTTAGCAGAAGATCAATACCCTACAGCTTGGCAAACTCTCATCGAATATTATGATAGTCATCGTCGTATAGTTAATAGCTATTTGTTTAGCATTATGAATTGTAAGGCTATGAAATCTGAGTCTAGTACTGAGCTTAAACGGATTTATAAAGAAATGCTGAATCCTATGGACTTACTTCAAGCTATAGGCCGTGACTTAGGAAGTAGCGATCTTTATATTGCTCTAGTAGTTAGTAGGTTTGACGCTTCAACCAATAAAGATTGGCAAAAGTTTCTCGGTAGCGAGTCCCAACCTCCTACTCTAACTCAATTAAAGCAGTTCCTAAATTCTCAAATTATAACATGTGAGAATTTATCAATTAAACCTCAACTTAGCAAAATTGGTAGTAAATTAGCTATTGTAGCTTCTCATCAGTCAAACCTCGATAGTGAATTAGTAGCTAGCAATGTTACTTCGCAAAGCCCTCAAAAGTGTGTAGCGTGTCAAGGAGATCATTCTCTTGGTAAATGTGAGTCATTCAAGACCTTTTCACTAGATTCTAGAAGAGATTTAGTTAGTCGACAACGGTTGTGTTTTAACTGTCTGGGTAATCATTTGATTAAAAATTGCAAATCCAAGGGCACTTGCTTAACCTGTAAAAGGAAACATCATACACTGTTGCATATTTCCAAACCCCAGCAGGTTGAATCTTCTGAAGCTTCTCAAGTCATTGATTCTCATGCACTTTCGTCTCAACATTGTGAAGTTCCTCAAGCCGTCCATCATAGTAAAGATTCTCTCTCTAGAGGTATTGGTGTACTATTGGCCACTGTCCGTCTGTATGTCCTGGGCCCCACAGGTATTAAATTGATGGTAAGGGCTTTGGTGGATCAATTCTCCCAGTGGTCAATAGTTTCTGATGCTCTATGTACATTGTTAAAACTTAAACGTCAATGTTCAAATATCCCAATTAGTGGTTCTGGTGGTACTTAAGTTGGTATAGCTAGGAGTGTAGTTGAATTTACTATTTCGCCTAGGTTTCCTTCGGAGTTTAAGCTGTCCGTCACTGCTAAAGTATTATCTCGGGTTTCTTATATCGGCCACCTGTTAATCGTTGTGTTTCAAGTTTTAGTCATTTGGAACGTTTAGAATTAGTGGATCCTTGTAACACAAGTATGGATAATATTGATATCATACTTGGAGCTGATGTGCATGCTCAAATAGTCGAAGGGTCAGTCCGGAAGGGCAAACTTAATGAGCCTATTGCAACTCGTACTTTATTAAGGTGGATTCTCTCAGGTTCTATGGGCTTCGAGGAAGCAACTAGTGGTAGTGCAGTTTCTTTGCATTGCGCTGAAGAGGATCACTTTATTCCCTTGTTAAAGCATTTTTGGGAAATAGAGGAACTCCCTGCTGATCCAAATTCTCTTTGGACAAGGGATGAAAGAGCTTGTGAACAACATTTTATTGACACCCATTACAGAGATAGCACTGGTAGATATGTAGTTAGAGTTCCATTTAAGACTGATCCGAAACCATTAGTTAAAGAACGTGATGACGTTAAGACTCTGTCTTTCACTATGCAGAAAAATTTAGAGCGTAGATTTCATAATAACTCAGTATTGTTTGATGCTTATAGTTTGTTCATGCGTGAGTATATCGATCTTAATCACATGGTGAAGTTAAAACTCGATGAGACCAATGATTGTTGGTTCTTACCCCACCATGGAGTAATTAAACTTGCAAGTACAACTACGAAACTCCGTACCATGTTTAATGGATCAGCTAAATTCAAAGCGGGCATCTCTCTGAATGATTTACTCCATGTTGGGCCCAATTTGTTGTGTAATCTTTTTGATCTTATCACTTCTTGGAGATCTTACTAGCTTGTTTTTTCGTCTGATATAGAAAAAATGTTTCGTCAGGTTTGTGTAGATGAGATTGATCAGAAACATCAGTGTATCTTTTGGCGCTTCTCTAGTTTAGAACCGGTTTTAGCTTATCAATTGAAAATCGTGACGTATGGTCTAGCTTGTTCTCCGTACCTAGCTTGTAGAGTGATCAAGCAGTTGGCTAGTGATTACGAATTTGAGTTCCCTTTAACTTATCCCATTTTGATGAAAGAAATTTATATGGACGATGTTTTGTCAGGAGCTCATAGATTTAGTGACACAGTTGAGAAACGAGATCAGCTCTTAAAGGTTATGTCATTGGGTGGTTTTTCCCTTAGGAAGTGGTCTTCGAATGATTCAGATGTTTTGGCTGGTTTGCCCGGTACACTTTTAAAATCTTCGCCCATTATTTCATTGAATAAAGGTGATTCTTCGGTAGAAGTGCTCAGCATCGTCTGGTATCCTAAAGAAGATGTTTTTAGTTTTCAAGTTAAATTTCCCTTAGTACCGACATCATGGACCAAAAGAGCTGTACTCTCCCATATAGCTAGATTATACGACCCACTTGGTTGGTTAGGACCTGTCGTTATTTTTGCTAAAATTTTCATGCAATCTCTGTGGCTTCTTAAATTAGAATGGNTAGTTTTCAAGTTAAATTTCCCTTAGTACCGACATCATGGACCAAAAGAGCTGTACTCTCCCATATAGCTAGATTATACGACCCACTTGGTTGGTTAGGACCTGTCGTTATTTTTGCTAAAATTTTCATGCAATCTCTGTGGCTTCTTAAATTAGAATTGGATTCGTTGATACCAGAGAACTTATAGTCAGACTAGCTTCGTTGATTTCAAGAAATCCAATTATTGAATCAAATTAGAATTTCTCGTTGGACTCAATTTTCACCAGTTGTTCAAGCTATAGAGCTGCATGGTTACGCTGATGCTTCTAAACTAGCCTATGCAGCTGTTTTATATCTGCGTGTTGTTGCTAATCAAGAAGTTTATGTTTCACTTTTATCGGCTAAAACGAAAGTAGCCCCTCTTGAAACATTAAGCGTTCCGAAGCTCGAACTTTGTGCTGCCCAATTGTTATCAAAGTTAGTACACCATTACAGTCAAAGTCAGGATCACAGAGTAGATGCAGTCCATCTGTGGTCTGATTCAAAGGACGTGTTGTATTAGTTAAGTTCTCAGCCGTCTCGTTGGCCTACTTTCGTAGCTAATCGTTGCAGTAATATCATGCAGTTAGTTCCTACAGCTACGTGGCACCATGTTTCAGGTAAGAGCAATCCTGCTGACGTAGCCTCTAGAGGCGTTTGTCCCGCTCAGTTACTGGAGCATTCGTTGTGGTTCCAAGGACCTCTTGAGATTCATCAGCTATCCACAGAGTATCCTGTTTTTACTTCAAATAAAAATTATGAAGTTCCTAGCGAAGCTTCTGATGCTGTCTCTCATCATCAAAGTGCTAAACCTGAAACTTGGGATCTTTATTATCGATATTCAACTCTAGAAAAGCTTTTAACAATTACTGCCTATTGCCTTAGATTTATTTATAAGCTGTATGTTTGCATCTTTAATAAGTCTCAATTAGATTTTTTCAATTTAAGCGTCATAATAAATAGTTTCAGTGCGTGCCCTACTGTTCCTGAACTTTATAATGCTAAACTCCTGATGGTTCATTTGCATCAATTGATTCATTTTACAGCTGAATTTCATTTGCTCAATTCAGTCACTCATTCTGTCGATAAAGTTAAGCTCAAACTTCCGTCAAATAGTTCGTTGATCCCGTTAAAACCGTTAGTCAAAAATCAACTTATTAGAGTGGGGGGTCGTTTGAGTAATTCGTTGCTGCCATTTGAAACTAAGCATCCTTTAGTGTTGGTGGCTCGCGATCACTTTACTGAATTGGTCATAAACTATGCTCATAAGATCACCTTGCATGGCGGTCCTAAACTTACTTTCAGTACTATTCATCGGGAGTTTTGGATCATCAGGGGACGACAGAGGATTCGTTCAGCTCTTGTAAATTGTATCACTTGTAGACGGTACTCTGGTCCTACCTTAACTCAACAAATGACAGATTTACCAAGTGCTCGAGTTCAACCTGTACCCGCATTCTTAAAGACTGGAGTGGATTATGCTGGTCCATTTTTAGTCAAGTTATCTAGGTCTAGAGGTACAGGTACTACCAAAGGTTACGTAGCCGTTTTCACTTGTATGTGTACCAGGGCTGTTCATTTAGAAATAGTAGAAGATTGTAGTTCTGACGCCTTTATTGCTGCCTTCCAGCGTTTCATTTCTCGTCGAGGCCATTGCTCCAATCTGTATAGTGATCGTGGTACTAATTTTGTGGGTGCTGATATTGAATTGCGTAGAAGGTGGTACGAATTTAAGGAGTCTAAATCTTTTCAGTATCAAATAAGTTCCTTGAAAACTCAATGGCATTTTAACCCTCCCGCTGCTCTGAACTTTGGTGGAGTCTGGGAATCAGTTGTAAAGTTGATGAAGAATCATCTTCGGCGAGTAGTTGGTAATCAGATTTTAACGTTTGTCGAATACTCCACATTGCTTTGTAAAGTCGAAGTTTGTATGAATTCGCGACCTCTATCTCCTTTAAGAGATGATCCTAGTGATTTAGACGTTTTGACCCCTGCCCATCTGCTTAATCTAAAGCCAGTGACTCTGCTACCGGAGCTAGATTATACTGATGTTAAAATTTCATGTTTGCAACGTTGGAAGTTAATAACTTTCTCAGCATTTTTGGCGTCGTTGGCATCAGGGGTATCTAACGAATTTGCAAAGTAGATCTAAATGGTATCATCCACAGAGATCATTAGAGGAAGGCGATTTGGTTTTGATTAAAGGTGAGAATACTCCTCATAATTGTTGGGTGTTAGCTCGAGTTGAGGAAACTTTTCCAGGTCCTGATCCATTAATTCGCACTGTTCGAGCTCGCACTGCTACCTCTACCTTTGTCCGACCAATTTCAAAAATTGTCCTTTTACGGATGAAAGAGGATTTGTAGTTAGATTATCAATCTTCCTTCTCCTCTCGTCGAAGCAAGGGAGGGGGAATGTTCAATATTAAGGTCCTAAGATTTAAGTTTACGCGCTTGATTAAATCTACCAATGAGCCACACTAGTACGCCGAGTTTCCAGACAACCAATCGCAATGCGCCACGTCTCTTTAGTTAGTCAATAGCTTTGTAAAGTAAGCAGCGGCTTGCTCTTTAGATGTAGCTGCGCGATGTAATAGCCAGTTCGTACTCGGTCGTTGAGCAAGGTGCACGCACCTTTGCACGAGCACACACATACACCTCTTTTCAAAGTTTTACACGCGCACTTTAACGATAAATTTACTGCCATTCTTTATAACTCGATTACTCCTATTACTTCTCGTTTCGATTGTTCCGAATCTTTACCTCAGAAAAGTAAAATGTTTGTATCAAAATTATTAATTTGGTGTTTCTATTCAATTAATACGTTTAAGAGTGTTAAATACAAAATCAGTCTTATTTACTTAACATAGAAACACACTCCTCCTCTGATACTTGACATAGTATAAAATTCGAAATGTATGAAATTGTATACGTAAATCAACACTTAATGTAAATTAGTATTAAGAAGATGCCTAATTCACATCAATTTCATGTATAATTGTAGTATAAGGCAAAGTGCATACATATTCCGTACTGTTATTCACTGAGCCCACAATAAAAGAAGACCAAATTATTAGAAGGGCAAAACTATTAATGTAAGGAAAACAGCGGTTCTCTGAAATGGAATGGCAAAATGAGTGTGGGATACGAAACTACACAAACAACGCAGACGACAGAATACAGCACTACATACACAGAAATGCAACAAGTCTACAAACTCAACACTGTACAAAATCTAGGATCAGCGTTCAGACGTGTAACGTACGATAATGTAGGTTAGGCTCTGGGCTCTCTCTCCTTGCATCTCATAACAGAAGGCCTTAGGGCCACGAGAATGGAAGAGAGAACAAAAGAAAAGGCTTTTGGGGGAGTACACGACGTGCCTCGAAAGGCAACACACTTGCGACTTTTCCTTACCAAAGTGATACCTTAAATAAAGGTCTTTCACATAAAAAGTGTTAATCATTTCCGCAACGCACGTCTTTACCAATCTCTTTTCGACGTAACAATAATTTAATTCCATAAATAATAACAGAAAAAATGTCAACTTTGTTAATTTGTTAAGAACCCACCCAACGTATTCTTGTCACAAAAAATTTTCGATTACCGTACTCAAAATCAAAAATGTACTAAATGTGAAGCTGGAAATCCAAAAGACAATAATAGCTGTCAACTAAGTCACGTAAAGAGTGCGAAATCAATGGAAGGGAAGGTTGCTGCTGGACTGGTAAATAATAATTATGGACTGGAAAATGATAAATTGATAGTGAGAGCAATAATTAGAGATGATGATGCAACATCTAGTGATAAAATAAGAAAAGGCAATTATATCTATAAATCCAAATTATATTTATACATTTTCAAATTCTTACTATTTAAATGAAAATTTTTGAAAGCACATTTATAATTTAAGAAAAATTTGGATTTTGAAGAGCAGTGGAAAAAGAATGTCATAATGTATACTATAAAACATTTTAAATACATAGTTGCACAGAACAACAACAAAATTCGAATAATTTAGCCAAAAATCTTAGAACCATTCCTGACTATCATTTTGGTAAACATGATAATTGTATAGTATGGTTCCAAGAGAGTAAAATTGCAAAATAGTGAAAATATTACAAAATTTTTTTAAGTCACTTTAGAAAATCTAAATTTATACAAAACTTTAAAATCTATTAGATAGTTATGCTAAGAATGCCAAATTATTTTGTATCCCAGCTTATAGTCGAAAGAATGGGTCAATTACATAGTGTAGTAACAAAATTTTCCCCCAAAAATAAAAGTTATAAAAAAATCAAACAAGATAGTATTAAGAATGTTTGGAAGAAAAGTTAGAAATGGAGAAACGTGACAAAAAAATGTATGTTACATTTGAGCATGTAAGGAGTGTACATTAATTTTTTCAGATTTTTCACCAGGAGAAATTTTCGAGAAAACAATCTTACTAATATATAAAGCAAAAGCGCTAAAAGTTAGAGAATTTGTGGCTACAAATGTAAGCAAGGGAAAACAGCTCTGAGGGGCACGGGCAGCCACAACGGCTACCTTCTTCTTGGTCGTCGCGTCCCCAACGCGCTTACCCACATGTTCCCGTCTAACGATGAGCGGTTGGTTATCCGGGAAATGACCTGAGACGAGATATTCTTTGGTCAGCGGCGTACCTCCCTCCATCACAGTCTCCATACATCGAGACTCCCAGGGTAAAAATCAAGGAACCGTAGCCAGCTCTTCATCATCAGGAATAAGAATAGCCTGGAAGTTTCACCACTGGCACTTTTTTGGGCCATTATAAGTATGTACGTTCCCTACTTAACCATCAATTTCATCGGTTCTTTTTAGGATCCACCTAAGTGTAAACTACCTTGCCAACAACTACATTTTTATTACCATTTCCGAAAGCGATTCATCGACTAAAAGACTATATGAACTAAAGACGGGCACTATTAAACCAAGTCAGCCATTCACTAGCAGACGTCACCTGCGGAGTTGTTCTTCGCAAGGCTGGAAAACCCGGTGACCGACGACCCTATACTACCCTCTCGACTCTAAGCATTCAACCAGGAATCACTGATCCTCTCCAAGGTCTGCGNAAAAGACTAGTTAGCCCAACGATTTAAGTGTGGTTTGGTGCTCGTAATGTTGTATTTATTTTATTGACAAAGCGACCCGTAAGTGCCTCAGGTTGCCTGGTGATTAGCGCTTGTGCTATTTTATTCCTTATAAACAAATAAAGGGACCAGTAAGCGCACCGGGTTGTGTGGGGAGTGGCGCTTGCGTTATTATTTTATTTTTTATAAATAAATAAAGCACCCTAGGTTTTGTGGCGATTGTCACTTGTGCTATTCTACCCAATTTAAATAAATAAAAGGACCAGTAACCGCACCGGATTGTGTGGGGATTGGCACTTGCGATATGATTGAATTTATTATAAATACATTAACCGACTAGTAAGCCCCCAGGTTGTGTAGTGATTTGCGCTTGTCCTATTTTATTAATTATAAATAAATACAGAGACCAGTAAGCGCACCTAGTTGTATGGGGATTTGCGCTTGTGTTGTTTTTATTTTATTAATTAATGAAGCCCCCACTATGTGCCCCATGTTGCCTGGTGATTACGGATTGTGATATTTTATTTATTATAAATAAATAAACGGAGTAGTAAGTGCACTGGCTTGTGTGGGAATAGGCGCTTGCATTATTATGCATTTTTTGCATAATTTTTGTTTGCGTTATTAGTTGACGCTCGCGCTATTTTGTTCATTATAAATAAATAAGAAAACTAGTAATGGCCCCAAATTGGTCCTTAATTAGCTCTTGTGCTATTTTATAACCAAATAAACTATATGGATTCCGAAAAAATACGTTTTTAATAAGAAGATTTTTGTTCTGAGATGTATCAGGAATATGTGTAAAATTTCTAACTGAAAATGTTTCACGTTACATGTCACCACACTACGGTGTTTTATTTAGTAAGTCTAGGGCGAAGCCGAGACGGGGGGCTGCTAGTTATGTAATATTGACAGTTAAACATGGTCTTTTATGAAAGAGCAAGGTAAGGTTTGCCTTTCAATTAAAATTAAGGTATATTCTGAATGTGTTAAAATAAAAAAAAAACGTTTTCATAGATAACTTAGTATTAAGGAAAGTTGCTCGACGAAAAAAATCAAGCCTTGCCGGGCATTTTTCAAAAATAAAGCAGTTAAAGTCGTACAGTTTCAAGCAGCGAAGTCAATTAAGGTGGCTCCAGCGCAATGTACTCTGCAGAATGCAGACAGCTGATAGCTGACTTGCACTCGCAACTGTATACTAAGTCTCCGATTATTTAAAGATTTTGTTCGATAACAAGACACTTTTCTCATGTCATCGAAAATTACGTTATAATATATATAAGATAGTATATTTTTTACACCTTACGGGTTATTTATAGAAGTGCAGCAGTAGGTTGTATATCGCGTAAGCTTGCATTTCCTATCTAACCTGTCTTAAAACTAGGATTTTGTAAGCATGACTTCTTACAATTTTCATCGTCAACCTTAATTTTTTTTATACGAATAGAAAAATGGAAATTCAAAGAATATAATTCAATTTTATTAACCTCGGTTGGGTTATTAATAATTTTAATGTTAAGGCCACTGGAGCCACCTTAACGTATCCAAAGTGGCGTGACATTCGAATTGGCTACATGAAGCATGACGTAAAAATCCAAATAACTCAACAAAATTTCACATATTATAAATAAATAAACCCCAAGCTATGTAACCCAGTAACCCAGAGAACCTACTGACAACTTTAAAATTAAATGTATTAAATAATAACATAAGCCCCAATAACCACGCAATCAGAGCGCTGACTGGTCGCTTTATTT